AACTCTTCATAGCAATCTTGTTATACTTAAATCACTTTATAAAGGAAAAATGTTTAGTGAGTCCGCCAACTCACCTATTGATATGTGTCCCCCTTTTAAAACCCATCTTAAAAATGGATTCTGGATCCAAAATTTTGGGGTTTGCTGTTGTCAACTGTAATGATAATGAATCTGGAAATTAGCTATTTGGAAAAATAAAAATAGTTTTTTTTTTTTCCATTCCATTTTAGCCTTTAGTGAAAGCACCTTTCGTTGACCTCCGTCATCTGAGATGGACATCTTAAGCACATGACGGCACACATAGTTTGGTGGGTAAGCTGATTCACAAAAACTGGTTTTCTTTATAGGCGAGTGAATGTAAGGTGCAAATGGATACGTCTATAATCTTTATAAACCGGTTATCTTAATAGGTGACTCCTACTTTTTTATTCCAAAAATAAATGGTTTTATCGTAAATAAATCCTCGCATAAATATTTTACAAATATAAAAAATAAGACTGTGTCCAAAACGGATTTAAAACTGGTGTAAGAACATAAAATCATTAGTTAGATATTGGGGTTTAAATCAGCTTAGCTCAGCTCATGTTGAATTAGTTTTCGAGTTAGAGCTTTCAAACACTGTTTTTTACTGTGCACCACTATGACTCAAACATACACAGCTGTTTGTTCTTTCTTCGACGTGTTCGATGCCCTCGTCTCAGTAAGCTCCGAGATACAAACATGTCCTGATAAATATAACCCCAAATGCAACTGAGTCAAGTAACTCCCTCGCTTTAAGATTTCTCTAAGTTACAATTTCAAGCGAATTTTCTATAAGCACTGTGGTTTTGAGTTGCCACAATGTGATTTAGGTTGTGGGAGGATTTAAGCAATTTTTATGAGAAAACATGACTAAGTGAGAGAATCTCACAAAACTCGAACTTACAAACTGAGTATAAATTCTTGCATTGTTTCCCTCTTTTAGAACAACTTTCTCACACACAATAAAATGAAATGTAACACATATTTTTTTCTTATTTTGCATACAATAAAAAATGTAATACATATTTTGCATTGTGCCAAATCATGCCTGACATTAATACCTGCCAAAAGGCACTATCAATCTTACTGAAAAGCCAGGATATCCATTGATCTAATAGTTGGGTCACAGTTCACAACATAACCTTTAATTTTAATTCTGATACGACCATTAGATCTGTACTATTTTATGAGCTACAAATTTATGATTCTAAAGCAGAAATACCTCCAGAAATACTTAAGATTTATTTCATATTCTAAATATTTTTCTAAGATGGATTTTCTTAAAGGGACCGCGTTTGAACATAACCTTATTTAAACTTTTCCTAATGATTGTGTTTAGACTTCAGAAAACTTCTGAAGTACCATGGGAAAATACTTTTCTTTATTGAATTCTCCCAAATAACTCGAGAAGATTACACCATGTCTTCTCAAAGAGTCAATTATGTGAGATCATTTTCTCCCTAATCAAGTGGGACATGTATAAGAAACAAATTCTAGGCTGGCTTTTATCATTTTCATTTCTTCCTTGATTGTTGTGGTGCCCATGTCATCAAGAAGCCATTGCACCACATAAATAAACTTTAATTGACAACTATATAAGAGATGGAAAAAGTATTGAGAGAGGGATGAGAAGGTATGTGCCTAGTGGGTTACTAGCCCTGCCAAAAACACATCTATTTCGAATTGTTGGTGCTACCCTTTATCACCATGGTCGGATAGCATGGTGAATGTTGAGTAAATTAAAGTTCCAAGCTGAATTTTGATGGTAGTTCAAAACGTGATCAAAGCCTTGTGTATGGACCGTCATGGTAGTGCTACTAATTCAAGCCCAATTTGGCTAAAATGAGGCTGAGACACATTACAGTCTTCAGGGCCTCTGGTTGATTCTAGGCAAGCCCTATCGATTCATCATGGTATGGGACTCGACAAATACTATCCATTGGGTAGATGATGGAAATACATGTCCGAAAAGTTCGAAGAAATCCGGGGAATCTTGGTAACCCCAACTGCATCAGTTGACATTCTGTAAGGGAATAGAACATAGGAATGTCTCACCGGGCAACGTGTTTTCACACAAACAAATGGGCGAAGGTGCATGGTAAAAATGGTGAAATTGACGAGTTTTTCCCCGCTTTTCACTCTTACGAGGCGGCCCTTAGATGTCAATTTTTACCACAATGTGGAGTTCACACTGATAAATTATTTTTTATCTAGTGAAATGAATGTTTCATCTGGTGAAATAAAAAACAGTTAAATATAAAAATAAAATAAATTTAGAAACTAGTAGTATATCCATCCATTATGAAAACCAGCTTAATGATAAAAGGACAGTTTATGCGGCCAAGTCCGCATATGTAGAAATGCAGGCCTCTTAATAAATCTATTTTTGAGATGGATTTTAAGATTTAATTTTTTAAAGACATGTAATATCATGAATATGAAAAATAAAAAAATTTTAAAGCTAAAAATAATAAGTCTAGTAAAAAAACATTTGGATCATTAGTTTCCATTGTTTTTAGATGGGACACCTACTTGCATCCATCTTTACAATGGATGCTTTACACTTTCTAGACAGCATATGTATGTAGAATGCGGTCCAGCATGAAACAAGTTTCCTATACTTAAATCACTTTATAAAGGAAAAGTGTTTGGTGAGTTAGCCGACTCATCTATTGATATGTGTCCCCCTTTCAAAATCATTCTCACAAATCGATTCTAGATCCAAAATTTTGGGGTTTGTATTTGTCAACGGTAATGATAATGAATTTTAAAATTTTCTATGTGAAAAATAAAAATAGTAGTTTTATTTTATTTTTTTTCAATGTCACTGCCCTTCTCCACTATCATTTCTTAATGGGAAAGTATAAAAGGAGACCATGTACCTTTAGTACAAGATGGTCAGATTAATCTTGACCATTGGACCAGAAATTGGGTGGCTGCAATTATTCCATTGACCAAGCTCAAACTTCAAAATGAATTTTCTCGAAGTTTGTGACATATCCAAGCTATCAAATTTCACATTAGATGGTTGTAAATAATTGTGACCACTTTGTATCAAAGGTAAATAGTTTCATTATATACAATCCCAAAAAAATATGGTTATTTCATTATTGCTTATTATGGCGAAACCACTTATCAGTGCCATTATTAACCATTGCTCCTGGAGGCGTACTTCTAAAATCCCTATATTTATAGCTGTTGCAAAAGGCATGCGGTTTGGTAATACACTAATTTGGCCACTCTTAGTGGATAAAATAATTTTAGTGAAGGCACCTTTCGTTGACCTCCGTCTTATGAGATGGACATCTTAAGCACATTAAGACATATTTTGGTGAGTAAGCTGATTCACAAAAACTGGTGTCCTCTATAGGTGAGTGAATGTAGGGTGCAACCGATACGTCTCTAACCTTTATAAACCGGTTACCTTTATAGGTGACTCTACTTTTTTATACCAAAAAGAAATGGTTTTATCGTAAATAAATACCTGTATAAATATTTAGAAATATAAAAAATAAGATTCTCTCCAAAAACGGATTTAAAATTAGTGTAAAACCATAAAATTCATTAGATAGATATTGGGTTTTAAATCAGCTTATGTTGAATGCCACTGCATGTGTGGTAACCTCCATGGTAAAATGCGTTTCTTCTCCCAACAATAAGGTCCACAACATCATCTAGCCAAAAATACATCAAGGACCAAATCACGCCCTCAAGTTGCTTCAAAACCTGGGTTTGTTAACTCATGGAGCCAAACGAGTCCTAAACCTCTGGAAGCCTACTGTAAAAGCACCTGATTACAATCCAATAATATGTTTTCCACTTGAAAATTGTAGGTCTAATAAATGGTTTTTGGAATAAATAATTGGAGTAAATTTATTCAACCACATCCAACAGATCCATTATCTTGGTTTTCACCGATTCACACAGTATTGTTTGAAGGTGCGCTCTCCTTTGATTGTTTAAAGCCTCGGCTCTAAACAAATCGCACCCAAGATTAAAATATCTATATATTTAAATATATTAAAATTAGGACCTAGACCCATACCCGATCAAACCCGGACCCGATCGGACCCATACCCAAACCCATTGACAAAAACTTAAGGAAAATAAAAAGTGCAAGAAAATCATTGAAAATAGGAGGCTCACATGCCCTTAGAAGGGTCAGCCGTATGGAGGGATAGCAGAGAGTCCCCCTGGTGAGTTAGCCCAAAGGCATTTGAGTCCAAGATTTGGACCCTGCCTAACCCCCCGGGTCCAATTTTGGGACCCATACCTAGACTCAGTTCGGGCCTAGCCGTCGGTTCAGGTCCATTGCCACAGCTATTGATACGGCACTAAAATTAAAATAAATGGCATGATATATATGGTCGAGGCCGTGACACACCAACCCAACATGGACAGGTCCTACTATTAGGTTAATCATGTAGAGTATATACAAATGGTTATAATAGCATAATGGGAGTTCACATTGATTTTGTTCCATAGACCTTTATGTAATTAAAAAAAATACTTGGATGAGTATCATTCCTAAGTTTTAGGCCAACATTTTAAAAAATAAAAGCTTAGGAACATGGTTTAAAAAGTTGATAGTTTACCAAAAGTGCGCCAGTAGCATGTTCCCATGAACATACTGTAATCAAGTTAAGATTTGGCATAAACTGCAATCAGCTGTCCAAGTGAAGTCAATAAAAGTACGTGGTACACCACCGAGGCATATCACCGTCCAATTCCTATGAGAATGGTGAATTTAAATAGACCAAGGTGAAGTCAATAAGAGTACATGTCTAGGTAGTGGTTTACCATACACCGAACGTTAATACACCCTGCACTATTAGTTTTTGGTGCATCATTTTCCTAATTAAATGGACTAAATTCTATTTTTCTTCAATTTTCTTACAAGTTGAAGTGTACAAAAAATCTAGACCATGGTTAGTGTTTGTTGTGCCAATAGACCATTGGTTTCTGGTGCACATAGCCACAACAATAAAAATGGTTGTATTGAATTTCATAAAAAAATTCAGTGAAATTTTGGATTTCGGAAATTGGAATTGAGAAGAAAACATAATTCATAAACCAATGCAGAGGCAAAAAAAGGCCCACTTAAGAGAGAGAGAGAGAGTGTGTGTGGGGTAAGCAATAGTAATACAAGCATATCGAAGTGGCATGAAGAGAGAGAATAGCTAAGAGTAAACAGTGCCACATGAAAGGGCCATTAAAAGGACTGCAGCTTGTTCTACTTCTTTCACCGGTTTCCCCTGCTTATGAAACAATACCTCCCCTCCCAGTGGCATTAATCTCAGCTTCAAAGAAACCCCATATCTCTTCCTTCTCTTAATGCTTTCTCTCTCTTCACTCCTCCTCTTAATGCTTTCTCTCTCTTCACCTTCGACCCCATATCTCTTCCTCTTCTTCATATTTTCCCTCTCTTCACCACCAAGCCCAAGAATGGTCCTCCTCATCTTCCTGTACTTGATCCCACACGCATTACACAGAGACTGCAACACAAAACCCACCAAGAAAAAAACCCAAAAAAGTCAGAAAATTGCATCAAGAATTAAATTCAAAGCCAAAGAAAAAATTCCATACTTTAGGACCAGCAGGGCCTCTCCTCCATAGAGGTGTTTTAGTGGTCCGGCAATTTTCACAACTCTTCAAATTCTCTTTCATCTGCAACAAACAAACTGATTAGATGAAATATGAACTAATCATTGTTCTTATAATCACAAAAAATATAAAAATAAAGTAGGTGCATACTCACCTTCCAATAATTGGTTTCAACAGGGGCTGAGCTTTCTTGTTCACAAGTATCGATCATTCTTTTCCCTCTCTCTCTCTCTGTAGAAAATTCCTTCACATAACATTAACCCAAATGACCAGATTTGTAAAGTGGGCAGGTGATCAAAACCAATTCTAGAGAGAGAAACCCACTTTCAAAAGGTCTTGTAAACTTTGATGAGAGAGAAAGTAGGCCCCTAGACTTGTAGTGAGCGAAACTCCTGTTCAAGAAGGAGGATCTGAGGAAGAGGGCTACTATCCCTCAAGGAGATTCCTAGTGAGAGGAAACTGTGCTTGAGGAGAGGGGATCACAGCTAGAGTGTTTAAGATTTATAATTGGCCAAATAAATAACAAAAAAGAGAGGTAGACAACTTAATAATAATAATAATAATTAAATTAATGGGAGTTTGTTAGGGAGAAGGGCGTTAAAAAGGCTACTCTACCTTACCTATCTGGTGTTAAGACAACATTAACAGGCTATGTGTCGGACTCTGAGTAACTATGACCAACCCAAAACCATACAAAATAAAATAGGACCAAATTTTAAATTCAAATGGATGCCTACACCATGTTCCCGCGGGATCATATTATAAGCTATTTGAAAAGAATTAGGGATTTCGGAATCCATTTTAGATTAACCAGATCCAGGTTAGAATTAGGAGGTGAGTATTTTTCATGTAAACAAAACTTAACATTCGAGTTCCCTAGGGACTCAAATGTAGTGCTTTAAGACTTGGATCGAAGCGAAAGTGCTCACCCATAGATCCGGTTTGAATTGTTGGGTAGGTGATTAAAAATAAATAAAATTAAAATAAAAGTTTAGAATATGTGAATTTAGAAGAGATCTAAGAAAATATTAAATAATTTTTTTAAAAAAAAAAAAAAATTGAAGGGGGTTAAGGGAGAAATCGGGCCCAGATTCATCCCATCCCATAGACCGTTCGATCATGATGGATTCCTATTTTGAATTGATAATCTTGATCGAAAATTCCATGTTAAACACCATCTATGTTTCAAAAACACTATCAGGAAATGATGGTCTCTATTCAAGTCCTTAGATACGCTATACGACATACAGTCCTTTCGTAAGAATGGCTACATGATAGAGAGTGAATCTAGAATATGCTCCAGCAAGATCACAAATTTATTTAGCAATTCAAATTGATATTTGCAAATCTAAATAGTTGGAATTTCGAATATCGTTAGAGAAAAGGTGGAGAAGGGGGCAAATTGTCATAAAAAGACAAGCACGTGCAGGCAAGTTGCAGCGGCAAGACCACAAAAAGGAGGAGAGAGAGAGAGGGAGAATGAGGCAAATATAGGAGAGAGGATGATGAAAGGAGAGAGGATGATGAAAGGAGGGAAAGAGCAAAGAGAGGAGAGAGAATAACGAAAGTTTGAGATGGTACAATACAGAGCAAGGGACAAATCCGTCCGGCCAGATATTCTTTGATGCAAGGGGGGAAAAGGAGTGGTCGACAGGTCCCAACAAAAGTTTTGGGAAAAGCGAAAATGAAGGATCACATTTTCACAATCAAACCAATTAATCTTTCTCTAAAATAAGAGAGAGAATCAAAAATAGGAAACGAAGCATTTACTGCGGATATGAGGTCGTTTCGGTCAAATGCCAAAAAACGGGGGGTGTTTAACATGCGTGCTGCTGCCACAGCAGCCTACGCACTTTCTCTCTCTAAACCCCCGCCCTCCCTTTGCAGTCTGCCTGTCGTGTCTCTCTCCTCCAACCTCATCAGAGCCCAGGTGTCCTTCTCTCATCTCCTATTCCCACTCTTTCCATCCGAGCAGAGCAGGGGTGGGTGACAATCGACCCGATCAGGCCGGAGAATTAGATCCGACCTAGGGTCAGGGTATAGATCTAAATTTTGGATATAAAAACTTGAATATTATTTGAGTTCGGGTTCGGGTCCAAAGCTTGTCGATATCTTTATTTCTTATGAATTTCCAATTATTTCGTAAAACAGTGATATGTGGGTATTCATAAATATTATGCAATACGGTAAATGTTGCCGCATATTATTATGATCCAAATTTTGGACCTAAAATTATGATCCAAATTGCCGAGTAAGAATCCAAATTTTGGACCTAAAAGATCGGATCTAGGCGTAGGTCCAACCCGTTACCATCTCAGGCCCGAATCAACTCTCTCTCTCTCATACATGTTCCCTCCCTCTCTCTCTCTCTCTCTCCACTGCATTATGCATACATGTTCCATCTCTCTCTCTCCACAGGATGTTATTTTATTTACTTGTTTGAGTTAAAAGAAAGGTGAGACTACTTGGGCTGCGATTCAGCTTGAAGGAAAACCATGAAAACTGCCCTTCTAGGCTCCTTTGGCGCATGCTAACCATCAAAAGTTGCACACCTCACCTCGGGTACCCTGAACCTTTTTATATCAAAATAAGAATAAATTAGATCCATTTCAAGGAAAAAGTACGCATCTTTGGAAAGGATTGTGAAAATGTGATATACATGTCCTTGATTTTCTCTTTGCTTTTATTTATTTATAACCATTTGCTCGATAAATATGGTTGGTAAGTAAGAACATAGAAGTAGGGGGTGCGGATGGGTCGGTCGGGTTGGAACGGATCAAATCTAGGTTGACCCCAACGCATACCTAGGTCGAGTCCAAGTTAGTGGACCTGGACCCAACCTGGATAAAGTCGAATCCAAGGCTAAATAGAAATATGTACAAAAATTTTATTATATGTAGCTTATAGCATATAAAATTATTAGCTATCTAGGTATTATACGTACAAACATCAGGTCAGGTGAAGCCAGTTCAACCTTGACTCGTATTCACCCGACCCAATAAGCTATTGGATGGACCTAGATCAAGATCTAACTTGAGTCGGGGTCCAGGTGACATGGATTCAATCCTCATCCATCAGGCCCAAACCCAATCCCGAGTCGGGTCGACCAACCCAATTACCACCCCTATATATAGAAGTACTAGCTATAGGCACCTGGAATGCATATAGCACTAGTAACTCATGTTTTATCTCAAAGTCTATTAGAGCTGAGCAGCTGGCTATTTATAAATTCAAACCTTTTTTTTTATTATTAAAATAAAATATAAAGACTATTTACTTATTGATATAAAAAAATCACATGCATTATTTACTATTTGATGTAAAATTGAAGGTTGGGAATGTATCATTGACTAGACATAAAGTGTAAAATAAAAATTTTCAAATATTATTCCACACTTCAACCTATTGGATTTTGCATTCAATTAGTATAAATAATTGTGACCTCTTTTTACCAAAAGTAACGGTCACGTACTATACAATTGCTTATTTATAATTTTAAATTGTCTAAGTCCTTAAATTTAGAAAAGTTCTTTTTTTTATAATTATGAAGAGTCGAAAACTTCTAGGAGCTGTTATCTCGTTGACCAAGCTCAAAATCTAAATGAATTTTTCTCGGACTTTTTTACACGCAAGCTATCGTATTTTACATGTTATTGTGAAGAGTGTTTGAAAAATTGACCGGGTCAGCTAGAACTCGAATTAGGCCGAGTTAATTTGGCTCGAGCGGTGGCAGAGCCCGAGTTGTCCGTAGTAAGGGATCTAACATGTTTATTTATCATTTTGGCAAAAACTGAAAAGCATTTTGGGCATGAGCCAAGTACTCGGCCCGAGGCGTTCATCCGAACGCGATATCGTCTCGCTTGCCCTACCTCCCTATATCAAAGGAGATAGATTAAACCAATGGTTTAAAAACCGGATCGGTGACCCGGATCGGGTTTTTCAAAAACCGATCCGGATCGGCGGATAGGTGACCCGGATCGGGTTTTTTAAAAACC